GGGTGGGTGGGTGGGCCACTGTTACCTCACAGTGTCGCCGGGAGAAGCAAACATCTTTGTCGTGTTTGCTGTTTTTGCCTATGTTGTTCTTTGACTCGTGTTGCTCTGACCCTCTCTATCCATCTTGGGTGGGTGATTGGCGGGTGCTTTAGTGTGGTTTGCTTCTTCTTTCCTATCAGACATCTATTGTCTTTATCTATCCTCTCTTTTTTTTGTGTTTGTTACTCTCTTGTATCACTTCTAATCTTCGGCACTTATATGACCGTATTGTGTTTCAAGTGTCGTAAAACTCTTACTAAAACTAAACTAATCAGTCTTTTTCTTGGCCTGCTCCTCCCTCCGTTTTCATCAGACTGATCTCTGGTTAAAAAATGAACCCACCCCAAAAAACAACACTTGATCTATTGACAAGGTGGCCTGGCCTAAAAATAGCAAGCGAGCAATTCGGTCAGCTGAGAACATACAGCTTGTGTACTCGGTGTACCTCGTGTGGCTTAAACACACACTAGGGTGTCAGATTGCAGCACCCTGGAGACATAAGATTAGAGTAAGCAAGTTCATTAGCTTTTTTGGGGAATGGCTGTAGACTCTATTTTGGACTCGGAGGAAAACATCATTAATTAATTTTGTATCATTTATCCTAAGGCGTTGCTCTGAAGTCGGTAGTACTAAATACTCACCATGACACCAAAACGACATTTTGATTTTATTTTTGTACGTGTTCAATGCAATCAATTTATACTCAAGCCATTTTCAAGGTGGATGAGTGGGTGGTTGGCGGGTGCTCTGGTGTGGTTTGCTCCTTTCCTATCAAACATCTATTGTCCTTATCTCTCCTCCTTCTTTTTGTGTTTGTTACTCTCTTGTAACGCCTCTAAACTTCTGCTCTTTTACTTATATGACTTAATTGTATTAGGGACGTGGTTGGTTGGCGGGTGCTCTGGTGTGATTTGCTCCTTCTTTCCAATCAAATCTATCGTCCTGGTCTCTCCTCCTTTTTTTACTCCTTCTTCTTTTTTTATGTTTGTTCTCTCTCTTGTGACACCAAATCTTCGGCCCTCTTATGACCTTATTGTGTTGCAAGTGTCGTAAAACTTTATTAAAACTGAGATTAGGGACCGGCGTCTGAGGTGCAAGTGGTTGTACTCGAGTGCCAGCAAGTCTTAGTGTTTGCCGGACGCCGTGGTGTGGTCTGAGTCTTCTTCTTTTCAGTGTTGTATTTGCAGTAGGGCACTTGGATAAACACAAAAGTCTTGAACATCTCGCTCTCACTGGCAAAGTTGAAGGCAAACGAGCCAGGGGTAGACTCGGAGCAATCTACATGAGGAGCCTAGACAGATGGGTGGCGGGAAAAGATTAGGATAATGAAGCTGTTTTGAGAGCATCCGAGCAAAGGAATGAATGGAGAACCATGACCTCATGATCGCTGTTGTCTGTCGCAGATCTGGCTCTTGATGCTTTGTATTTGTTTACCTTTGGCGAAATGTGAGTCGGACCCTCCTCAGTCTTCTTTACGCCTCTGCGACAACAATCACAGCAGTAGTATATCTACATCATAAGTTAAGAAAAAAAAAAAAAAAAAAAACCAGAACAAAACTTTAACACAATCACAATCCACAATAATAAAAACAGCGAGACTCCTCAAACTACGAAAGGGGCCAGTGTGACAAATAACCGTTCCTGTAACTTAGTTAGCAGCCTTCACGTTGTCTCCGTTCATCCGTTCCTTTTTCATCCCCCCTCCCCCTCCCCCCAAACCAGTATGGCCATCATGGATTGTTATTCCAATGGATGTGTGTGTGTGTGTGTGTGTGTGTGTGTGTGTGTGCGTGCGTGCGTGCGTGCGTGC